GAATATTTAATCCCCTTGGATCAGGCACTTGGATTTTCTTAGATCATGCTGAGATAACAGCATTCTGCTGTGTTCTGGCACCATAAAATCCTTGCTTATGAAAATAAAAGAAAAATATGGCCTCTCTGGGAACATACATCTCTGAATTACTTTTTTCCATAGTTTAAATATTGTAGTCTCAAAATCAGTTTTTACACAGATATACCACATTCTCTTTATGAGTCATGGCAAAAGCTCTCCCGCACCACTGTTTTAAATGGGCCAAGTGTACATATACCCTTCGAAATTATGATCCTTTCACAGTCTTGGCTCAGACTCCAGCTCACGCTGGGCAAGTGCCAACAAGTAACTGGAGTCAAACCTCCTCCAACAGCACCATCTAGTGAAAAAACGATCAAATAAACACATGCAAATTTAAACAGTTTTCACTGCATTCTGGAAACTAACAAAAGGCCAATTCTCTCCTAATCTCCCATTACAACTGTATTTAGGTATAGCTTTCATCAAGGCTCTTTTCCTTGTGAAGTGTGGTGACAAGCAGAGAAAGATTCAACAGCTAATTGTATGCTTTTTGTCTAAAACTGGAACACCGCTTGGAACACGTATAAACTTTCCCTTGCTTGTTTTTCCACTGTTAAACTTGCATTTCTCTTATTGTTACGAAAAATAGAAGCATCTTAAAATGCTTTAAAATTATGGATAACATAACATCATCTATTTCCTCCTTGGTAGTGGGAGGTGATATGATAAGACAAGCAGCTCCAGAATAAAAAGGAAATAATATACATATAGTCTCAATAACTTTTTTAGCTCTTATTTTCATAATATCATTTCATTGTAATATCTTGAATGACTGTATCATTGAAAAAAGGGAACACTCAGCTTCCACCTGTACCTTTCATGTGATCAGTCTCCCTAGTTTCAGAAAGACTATCTGCTGAAGTTGTGTAGGTGCTTAGATCTTTCACAGGGTCAGAGCAAAATGCTTTGGCTACATGGAGGAAATACAGCAGTATAATTGTGAGTGTTTTCAAGGGTCTTGTTTGTATAGTTTTTCAGACAGGAGGAACAGTTTCTGTACCTTTCCCAACATGCATCTACAATGCCATGCAACTCACAAGTGGACTGTAGAAGAGATTCTGTAACTACGGTAGTTTTCAGATAACACACACGTGTGCTTTTACAGTTATTTCATCCCATTTTCCAGGCGCATCAGATTTGCAGCACCCATTTAGTAAGCTCATCCAAGCAGACTTGCTCCACAGGGCTGTTCAGCTCAGCACACCCACATGCTAACTCTGAGCACTCATTTCCAGACATTCAGCATGATTTAGTAATTTCTTGCAGTTCCAGACCTATAGCTGTCTGGTCAAAGCCTCCCCCACTCAAAATACAAGAAGTCCACGCATCTCAAGTAGGTAAAATTTCAAAGCATGACACTACACACTTGGTACCATTATCTCTCCCTTATATTTGATGCACTACAAAGTGTAATTAATTTACAGAGAATTCTACCCTGCATAATTATATCTAAATAAAAGGCAACCTGCTCTTGACAAAGCTTCAGTAATTTTCTCTTTGGGATGCAGATAAGAAAAGGTGGGCTCAATTTTACAATCTTCAAAACAAAGAGTTAAAGGTCTCTAAGCATTACTTTAATTACTTTAACTTCACAGAGCATACACTCAGGCAGTATAAAACACGGTTCATGCAATGACTTGAGGTCTCTCAAACCTCAAAATTCCACATGGTCAAAAGTTTCTTCCTTCTCACTGTCCCAGTTAAGCCCATGCAGAGGAGACTTCTCCAAGATCCCCATACTCCTCCTAGCAGGTTGTTGCTACACCGCTGCTCTTTTGAGGTCTCTCTCTCACTCAGTTTGTAAGCCAACTTGTTTGCCCTTCTTTGCTCACCTACAATAACAAGGTTACCTATTTCCACTATCTGGCTCCAAATTAAAACTATTATTGTGGTATAACTAAAAGTCCCTTTAAAAATACGAAAGAGAAATTAATACCTACTGCAAAACAGTAGAGAGAGTGCTCTCCTAAGCTTTGGTAAGTCTCCTTGCATGACCATTTGGTTGGAAGTTTGCATTGTGTTTTTTCCTGTTTTGTTTTTTTTAATGCTGCTTATGCTGTTACTCTTTCTTTTGCTTCTTTCTTTACATTTTATAGTTGCTCTTTAACCAATCATCTGTGATTAACTGCCCCCTTAAGAATTCACTTACATCTAAATTTGACAGCTTGTACTGCTATATTAGAGTGACAGTAAAATCTTAAACAGAATAGGAAATTCTACTGGGTAGACACTAACAGAAACCAGATTCTGACATTTATATTTGTGTCACAAGGTGCCACAACTCCTTTGAAAGTCCCACCAAAACTGGATACAGCAGAAAGCACATTGGTCCATCTAGAGCTTCGGACTGATGGATCACTGTAACCCCCTTACGTTCCTTGAAAATTACTGCAGTTAATCCTTTAGAAAACAATATCAAAATACATTAATATGGAACAAACAAGTACTGAATTTCCAAGAAACTATGATAGCAGGATTTCAATGTTAAAAATTAACCATAGATTTTTCTCTTGATACGGATTCACACTACTTAGAAAGCAAGATAATGCAGAATAGTATGAACACCCAATACATCTTGGCTATTACTTACATTGTATGTAATCCTGAACACATTACATGCATATTACACTGAATGTGATGTATGTACACACATACAGACAATACATACTGCATACAGTGTGAACACACAAAATGAGTTCTATGATTTCATAGGAAAAAAGCACAAAACCCACAAAAAACCAAGCGCCCACTTAAGTCTGTACAAAGAAAACCCCAAACCACAAAAGAGAAAAGGTACTGGATGCAGAAATACATATATAGACTCTCTTAGCTGGCAACTAATTATAACATTATACCTAAGAGTTCATATATCTTACAAACAAGTTAAAAACAATGTAACAGGCATGAAATACCTTAAACAGAAATAGTCTGATTGACACTAAGTTTAATATACTACATTATTATTCTTATAGTATTCATATTAGGTATAAAACCTTAGCATATTGAACAGAAAAACTGTCAAAACGTATTATAATTGATTGAGGTTTAAAGTGAACTTTTTAATGTTAATAATAACACGCATAATTATATTGCTATTTTGAATGAACATTTAAAATGCTGGTTACCATTTTCTCAATACAGTGACAGTGTTTTCATAAGTAAAATAATGGACATTTATTCACAAATACAGAGAAATCAATGATTTAACAGGGGGTACCCCACCACTGAGATATAACAAATTTATAAGTTTTCTGTATGTTTAAAATCATGCCTTTCCAACTACATAACTAGGGCTCTTGATTGAAATCTAAGCTGACAGGACAGTAATACTCTTGGAACACTTCTTGATACATATCTGTTGCAGCACTAGTAGACTATAAACAAAAGGTAGCGACATTTTCTCCACTGAAGGGAAAGTGCGTAGCACAGGTACAGCAAGTTGTCTTAACTATAAATTCAATGGATATACATGAGTTGTCCACTTGTGAAAGCAAGAAGGATCCAACTTCAACTAAAAGAAAGGACTTCCTCTTACTTTTTTCCCCTATATGGTCAAGTGTCTGGTCTTCAGCAAGACTGAAAATGGATTACCTGAGCAATATGAGGAATTCAGGCTTAATTAGAATGGCCTTGTCTGTTGGACACAGTATAGGTGACATCAGTATAGGCATATAGGGTAAGACTTGGGTTTTGTGCTACCATGACTTTTAGTGTTTCTGTGGTTTTACAGGCTCGTTAGGGGAAAGCAGAAAAGCTTCTTGTCAATTAAACCATAAGGAACTTTTTGCTTGGTATGGTATTACCTCAGGAGATCAGAATTTGCACATAAAGAATAAACATACATCAACCACATTAACGTCTGCATACATACCATCCAAAATAAGGTCCCTGTAGCAAGAGCTGCATACTGTTCAATTGTAGAAAGGACGCTGAAGATAAGGCATATCAGCACAATAAGGAAGCTGCAAATAAAAAATAAATAAATAAAAATGTAATGCAGTCTAGTAAGCACCTAGAGGGAAGACAGATAATTATGACATTACAAATTACCTGTGCACACAGACATATCATTGGTATTGGATTGTCTTAAATCATAGCTGGTAACTTTCGAGCAATCCAGTTTCATATTGGATAGTCTATTTCTCTTCAGACACTGAGGTTTTGGGTTGGACATTATCAAATGAAACTGCACAACAACATTAGCTTTAGTCTACCTCTAAGACTTGCTGCTTCCTAGCCCCTCAGGAAAACAGCATTCCTTGTTCTTTCCCATTGTAAGGGCTATTACAGCTGAATCACCACCACACAACCCCCCAGCGTGTTTCAAACATTTGCCTTTTTGCTGTTCCAAATTCTAATAAACTGCAAAGAGAAATCCCAATTAAGGCAGAGCTTAACAGGCTCTGCCCACACTGTCTTTTGTAACCAGTCCCCAAATGGCCCCGGATAAATAAAATCTGACATTCGGCATCTGAAACACAACTGAGGACTGATTCAATTTTGAAATAAAATTTCAAAGCAATTATCAGAGAGCGAGAATATAAGTGTTTGTTCCCCAGTACGCCCTGCCTGAGTGAATCCTTAGGGAGGGGGCCTCGTTCCCAAGGTTAGATTCAAGTCAGCCAGGGAGTTGCAGCAAACTGAGCCCAACTGCCTGCAGCCCCCCAGGAAGCCTCTTTCCTCAGCTGGGAAGCAAAGCTGTCCTGCAGCTTCTGCCTTCAAACCCCTTCCCTCAGCACCTTCAGCTGTGCCTACCATCCTACAGGACTGCTGCTTGCCTTAAAGGAACATGTGAACATTTAAAACCCAAACTGGATGCTATCCCACTACATCCATACATAGGCAGCTTCCAGTTCCCAAAGAGGTACATGTTTCTTTTTAAAACATGACCTAAGCAATCAAGAAGACTGAAAACATTGTCTTATTAAACACAGAGCTAGTTGGTAGGGATATTTTTCAAAATTCTGCTGAGACAAGCAACACCAATCCTTTGCACTTGATAAACTTGCTGCAAAAACCCAATACCTAATCACAGCCTTCTCCCACCCACATTACAGATCTCTGAAAAGGTTAATCACAGTTTTTTCCTCAGAAAAACAACAACAAAAAAGAACTGACATAACGAATAAAACTGAACTCAACAAGAAGAACGTGAAAACAGGACATCAGTGGCTGCAATTTGGCATGGCATAGCTGAAGTCACCCAGAGCCTTCATCTTTTTTCACATAAGTGAGAACTTCACTGGGTGAATCTTTTGAAAGGCCAAGCACTCAAGAAAAAAAAAAAAGTGTGTCCAGGTTGACATTATCAGCTAGATTGCTCAATGATCACTTCAAATTAGGGATGCAGCAAGGAAGGCTAAGGCTTTTGTCTTAGGAAGGCTAATTTAACTTGGAATTAAATCTGGCAACAGACATCAAGGACTGTAAGAAGGGCATCTTTAAGTATATTGGTAGCAAAAGGAAGACTAGGGAAAAATGTGGGCCCACTTCTGAATGAGGTGTGTACCCTGGTGTTGGAGGATACAGAGAAGGCAGAATTACTGAATGACTTCTTCGCTTCAGTCTTTACTACTGAAGCTGAGTCCTTGAGAATCCAAATTAACCCCAGGAAGTGAGAGAAAAAAATCTCGAGTAAGGAAGAGTTTCCCTTGGCTGAGGAGGTTTGGTTTGGAGCTCATTTATGCAAGCTCAATACCCACAGATCCATGGGCCCTGATGGCATGCAGTGCTGAGGGAACAGGTAAATGTTATTGCTAAGCCACTCTCCGTAATCTTTGAAAAGTCACGAATAGGAGAGGTGCCTGAGGACTGGAGGAAAGCCAAAGTCAACCCAATCTTCAAAAAAGGCTAGAATGAGGACCCAGGAAACTAAGGCCAGTCAGCTTCACCTCCATCCCTGAAAAGGTGAAGGTCATTCTGGATGTCATCTCTAAGGATATGGAGGATAAGGTTATCAGGATGGATTCACCAAGGGAAGTCATGTTTGACCACACCTTCTATGATGGCATGACTGGCTGGGCAGATAAGGAGAGAGCAGTGGATGTTGTCTACTTCAGCTTTAGCAAGGCTTTTGATACTGTCTCCTATAACATCCTCATAGGTAAGCTTAGGAAGTTAGATGGGTTAGATGAGTGATTGAGAACAGGCTGAACGACAGAGCTCAGAGGGTTGTAATCAGCAGAGTCTAGTTGGAGGCCTGTGGCTAGCTGTGTTCCACAAGGTTCTA